TACCGTATTTACCCGTGTATAAGTCGACCTTTTTTGACCAAATTTACACCCTAAAAATTCGACCTCGACTTATACACCGGGTATAAAAATCAACTTCAATTGATTGTTTACGCGTTGCTTATTGACGCTAAAATATCACAAGTCCATTCAATTGCTTTCAATAGGTGTGATATCACACCTTTCTGGTCTAATGTTGTCAGATTCAATAGAGCGGCTTTATAAACAATTTTCAGAACTACGAGCAACTCGCAACAATTATAAGTTATATCTCTTCAAACGATTCTCAACATGCCTAAACGAATGAAATACTCCGCTAAGTACAAGCTTTTAGTCATCAAATTTGCTGAAGAAACGAACAACTGTGCGGCCGCCAGGAAGTATAATGTGAACGAGAAGCTGGTTAGAGACTGGAGAAAGAATGCTGATAAGCTATCTCAAATGCCGAAGTCAAAATGTGCTGATCGAGGGAAAACCTGTCAGTGGCCAGAGCTGGAAAACGAACTAGTCACCTGGATAGAAGATCAACGAAAGTCTGGTTACATTGTTACAAGAAACATGATTCGTCTGCGTGCCCTGTCAATTGCCAAGAATATGAACATTGTGGATTTCAAAGGGACAGTGAATTGGGTTTCACGCTTCTTAAAACGACACGATCTTGTGCTTCGCCAAAAAACAAAGATTGCACAGAAACTACCCGAGGATCTGGAGGAGAAAATCGTAAATTTCCAATCCTTTATCATCAAGAAACGGAAATGCGAGGAATATGATGTTTCACAAATCGGAAACATGGACGAAACCCCAGTTTGGTTTGATATGCCCACGGCAAAAACAATCACAAACAAAGGAGAAAAAACTGTCGTCGTTAAAACGACTGGCCATGAAAAAACAAGATTCACCGTGGTGCTGAGTTGTCTTGCTGATGGTACGAAGCTGAAACCCATAATAATTTTCAAACGAAAAACTTTGCCTAAAGGACGCTTCCCTTCCAGTGTAGTTATTCATTGTCACCCCAAAGGATGGATGGACGAAGATGGAGTCAAACTATGGATAGAGAAAGTGTGGAATGCAAGACCTGGTGGTTTGTCCAGAACAAAAAGTCTTCTGGTGTGGGACTCATTCAGTGCACATCTTGTGGAATCCGTAAAGCGAAAACTACGTTTGAACAATACTGACATTGCCGTAATACCAGGTGGTCTGACTAGCATCGTTCAGCCTTTAGATGTTTGCTTAAACAAGCCGTTTAAAGACAGAATACGTAAGAAGTGGTGTGACTGGATGGTCGAAGGAGTCAAAGAGTACACGAAGGGAGGTGCCACGAAAGCAGCATCACTCGAAACTGTGTCTGAATGGGTCAGCGAATCGTGGAATGACGTACCAGCCAATATGGTGCAGTACTCATTCAAGAAATGTGCTATTTCTAATGCAATGGATGGTACAGAAGATGACCTTATTTGGGATGAGCCGGCCGAGGAAGAAGACGAACCAGAGATGAACGACGAGGAAGATATGTATGATGACAGACTAACTGAAAATCAATGGAATGAACTATTTGGACATAGCGATGAGGAAGATTTTGATGGATTTTAATTAGTTTTCTGAGACATTAAATCTTTATTCTTTAAATAGTAAATCAATATAATCGCATTGTTTTTTAAAAGTTTTAATAAATTGTAACAAAGTTTTTAAAGAAAATTGTTGTGGCTTGTTACCAGTGCCTGGAATGAGAAGCAGGGGAGGTTGCTCAGCAAACAAAATGGCGGCACGCTCGATAACAAGTGAAGAATCTTTGCTGTTTTTTCCTCTCTCAGCCTTGACTTTCGCTCACATTTCATCCTAAAAGATACTTGATAATTCAAAAAAATTAGGGTCGACTTATACAAAGGATATACGATAAAATTGGCAATTTCTCAGGATTTTCGGGGGTCGACTTATACATCGAGTCGACTTATACACGGGTAAATACGGTAGTAAGAAGATAATCTTTCTTGGTCACTCATGGGAGTTTTTATGGTTAAGACAGATTTTATACTTCAGTAGGAATTGGCTAATTAAGTTGGCTGTAGCATTAGGGATCATCTTCTATTATCCAATGTAATCTTACCCTCCTCATATTCAATGATTTCATTGTACAATGCTGGCGCCATGGCGATATTTTGCCCTGGGAAGTAAGGATTGTAGTACAACTCATCCTTGACTTCTACTCCAGCTGGAGGATCTGTGTAACCTGTCAGGATGCTGAATACATAATCCTGCCACAGAGAAGGAAAATAAGCAGTTACCTACTGACAGTAGAATGCTGATAACATCAATTATAATCCATCCGATATTTTTGCTAGAACTGAGGAATATTCAGTGATAACCCTCAAGTAATACACCCTAATTCTTAAAACCTTACAATCCATACAATTAAAATCTTTGTTTAAAATTTACTTCAACCACAACTCCTTTGCTACCTTGGATGCAAATAAACAGCTTTGACAAGGTTGTTGCACTAAATGGTTACTCATCTGATGCAGAACCAGTTTATAAACAGGTACAAACTGGACTGCTCAGTGTGATTTAAAGTTTTTCACACTGACAAGACTGGATGATACAAAACTAATTCAGGATGCTAGCATTCAGCCAACAAAAGAATGATATCACGAAGAACTGAAAAAGTAACAGAAAAAAAAAACTGTTTCTACCTCTCCACCGTGTCTTGCAGATGTAATAAGGCTCAGGTCTGGAGGGTAGGCACCTAGGATGTGATAGAGAACCAAAAGAGATAAGCACTCCTCACACGAACGGTACACATTTTCATCTCATGGTTAAAAACACAAATAATGGGTGCATCATTAAGTGTAACAGGTAACATTTTTCAATGCGTTTCTTACCAGCATTAGCAGCTCTTGCAGCATGTTCTTTGGGATACGGCTTAGGGAAGCTGTCTGACAACTGAAAAATGCAAAAGTTGGTATTGAACCAAGTCACCAAGCCAAAATTTACACAATCACAGAATCAAAGCAGATTTTGTTCAGCATGTAAGTTGACTGATTGCTGTATCCATAAGCTTTGCAGGCTATCTCACCTTTCCTGGTCTGGTGAACATGTTTCCATCATCATCAGGGCCATCTTCGATCTGTGCCTGAGAAAAACAAGCAATACACCTCTTTAACTTAAATGTCACAGCCATGTGCACAATGAAAAAAAAAAAAAAAACACTACCATAGCATCAACAGTGATGATAACAACCTTATCTATAACTATACTCAGAGAGAACCTGGTTACATGTAGGCTATGAAAAGGATAAATTATGTGTATCTGTTCAGTTTGCTTAAACTTTGTCTGGTGGATCTTAAGGGAGAATTTTTCATTGGGACCACTAAACAAGACTGTGCTAAACATCACAGTATTGTGTCCATACAATACAGTGATGGTTTTACCTGATGTTTTTCTTAGAATTTATTGTCTAACCTCTGCTGCAATGGCTTTCATTTCATCTTCTGTGTAAGCCACATCTACAAGATGTCGATATGCCAACTGCTCCATTGAATGGCACGCAGCACAGACCTGTCTGTACACTTCATAACCTCGTCGGATGCTGGAAAAAGTAAAATAATGTCTGTACTAGTACCTCAGAACTGCAAGAAATAAACTGAATACCTGTATGATGGGTATTATGAAAAGGCAGCATACACTCTAAATGCATACATATCACATTTACATTATTGTTACCCTTGAATCATACCTTGCATGGTCAAGTGAACTTAAGAGGCCTTTGTGAGCCCAAGGGTAGTGGGGAGGGTGAAGCTCAAGTTCTGCTGCATCAACTGTTGGTTGAAGGATGTAACCTGTGGCAAGACCTCCAGCAGCAAGAGTTCCAAATGCAAACCACATCTGAAAAAGTCATGAACAGTCAATGAATACGAAGTTCTTTCTTAAGAGTGATCAGAACGAATTTTCTTCAAGGAGAAAGACAAAGCCACATGTATTTGAAAGCACTATTTCAATTCAGAAGTAACTGATGTTGACCACACTTACATTTGCATTGCTTTTCCCTCCTTCAATGGTTGCTGTTGTTGTTAGCCTGGACTGTACCTGATGATAAGAAATTTACCTCTAAATTCAAACAAAATTTACCTAAATTTAATCAAAATGTCTATGAAGGATGAAATTAAGTACCTTACATGATCTATACCTGAGAAAAAGCCTTCACGGTAAAAAGTAACTTTCCCATTATTTAGTAACAAATGATCCACCCATTGCCAGGGACTACAATCTAGGGTACACAATCTGTTGGGGTGGCACTTCTGTCAAACATTTAATCTTGAAGTGCTAGGGGTCTTTGTCGTATGCAGGAGTATTTCACTAGATTATTAAGGAAATGTAATGCAATGTCATCTCAGTGTGCCCTTCAGTACAAATGGTGGTGAAATTTTTGATGAGTAAAAAATAAGACACATAATTATATACATGACTACATGAGGACGCATTTCTTCCAAATGCAGATAAATTTAGGTCAATTCCAGAAGGTGTTTACCGTTAAATTAAAGTTAGTTCTATCTACAACCATCAGCAAACTTGACAATATCAAAACACGAATTCAAGTCAACAGTTAAGAAATGAGAAAATATACCTCAGTTGACATTTAAAAAAACATACTGGTGTTTAAAATATCGAAACAAGTTCAACTTTTAGGAGAATACTTGGACCATCACTGATCACCGGCAGTGATTTTCAGTTCGTGAACAAACTTCAGTACCACGTATAACGAACAAAGTACATATATCAAACTCAATTGCAACAATCTCAAGTATTTTTCAAATGTATTCAGTGCAGTCTATCGTTAAATATTTTGGGTGAAAACCATTGGCATAAAAACATGGAAATTTCACAAAAAAAAAAAGCCTTTCTTACCTTTAAAACATCTTGTAATCGTTTTGATAATCCATGCGACCGGCAAAGTCTGAACGCCATTTTGAAATGGATGTGGGCTATTACCCAGAGCTCAACGCGGTAACATTGCATAACTTTGTAACTGCGCATGACTGCTGTTTTGAGTTTGTAGCCGCGCCATCGATACTTACCGTGTAAGAGGTAGAGCCTGGAAAAGAAACGTATTCAAGATGGCGGAATATCTTTGACATTTGGGGTGCATTTCCTCAGGTAAGGGTATAATTTTGTTGGAGAGGAAGGATTTGTAATGAACAGGTAAAAATTATATTTCATTATTATTCAAGCCTATCAAAACAATCAAAAATGCGTTCAGTATTTTTCCTCGAGGCTTAGTCTTCTGTGACGCGCGTGTTGAGGTGGTAATGAAGTTCATTGCAGTATGTAAGTTCTAACTGGACACGTTTTGAAGCTTGCCACCTTAGAGTGTCTTTATCTGTTTCCAGTTCAGCTTTAAAATAAACTTCATATCCAGCTCTTCTGTGTGGAGTCAGTGCGAGAGAAATGGGTCTCTTGTCAGATGTTCAAGGACGGAAGAAAATTGTTAATGTTTTAGTGGCTTATTGCTCAAAGTTGTGGTAAGGAAAATTAAATCTTGTGAGATCTCTTTTAGCAGTATTAAAGACCAGAACTCTGATAAGCTCTTTAATTAACGTTCTTATATTTTATTCGACAAATTTTTTCGGAGATTTTTGTGAAAAGATGCACCTTGTACCACCATGTCATAGTTATAAAGATATTTTTACGTTTGAGAGACTAATTATTTAGTTTAGTTTAATTTATTCGCCGCGTTTCAACAAATTCAAACAACTAATCTACATTACACAGTTACAAGAAAAGAAAAAAT